CGTCTCCCTGTATGCGCTCATTCTCCTAACGGGGAATTACCTCAACATAGGTCACGAGCCACCTGAACTTCACAATCCCTTAATAGATTGGGACTTTCGCTTGCCTTCATCGCCAAACCCAGAAACCCTTGCTTCTGCTGGAGGTAAACTGAAGCGAAGCCAGTTCCAAATTACAGAGCAAGAATGCGGATTTCACAGATATATTTGGAGGAAGAAGCTGCAGCAGCCCTTCCCCCACATAGAGACTGTGATCCCCGGGACCAAAATACCAGCTAAGAGACAGTATCCCCTGTTGGCTGAAGTTTCAGTTTTAAGGAGAGAGAGGCTAGGTTAGCAAAGTGGTTGATTTCAGGAGAGGTCATTATGTGGTGGGAGAGAAATCCAAACAGACGATTAGCAATCCCAGGGTTTTCCACCCAAAATCTCTAGCCCTGGATGTCTTTACCCTTTACTCCCTTTTTTTCCTTTTTACTATTTACACAAAGATTTAATGGTGGCCCATACTGTACCGCAAAAGATAAGAAGACAACTGTGGCCAAGTTTTGTGGCACATTCACCCAAGTAAGTTGAAGCCTTCATGGGTGCCTTTGTACCATTTGCCCAACTTGGTTACTTTTCACCTGGGTTGGTTTTGGAGCTTAGCCTGTTGCAAATCACAAACAAGTGTGTTATGTTAATCTTGAGGGGCTAAACTGATCATCCCAGGAGAATGTCTCTCTCTCTTTCTGATTTTCGCAAAGTCTGGAGAAAGTATACACAGCAGACTTCTAAGCTTGTGAAGGCAGGGCAACTTGCCATGTTCAGTCAGTACATTCTCCCTGGTGGTCCTGTCTGGTAATAAGAATATGTTGGCATATTCTAAGCCATTCTGGGAGTTGAGACTACACAACACGACGTTATGACGGTTGACCTAAAGGTGCTTTCCTCAAGGTGTTTCACTTCTTATCCAAGAAACATCTTCAGCTCTTACTGGGTGGTGGAGAATGGAAGGACTTATATTCCTTATAGACAGCTGGTCATTTGCATCCTTGTAGAGAGTCTTTGATGCCACTTGGAGGTTTATCTATGTCCTCAATCATTCTTTTGAAGACAGCAAAGTCTACATTTTGGACAGAGGACCGGCTGGTTTGAAAGAGGGGTCAAAGAGGATATCTATGTCAAAATTGAACAGCCCTCTCTCAACAGAAGGGGCGGAATATGACCTCATCTATGGCCAGCTGTTTGCAAGGAGTATAAATCCTTCCGTGACCTACCATCCAGTCAGAGCTGAGGAAGCTTCTTGAATGAGAAGTGAAACATCTTCAAAGAAAAACAGAGAAGTCCAATTGCCTCTGAAAAAGCACCTTTGGGACAACCATGACCTGGAGGTGGAGAACCTCCATAGATATTTGCCAAGGTTGAGAAACTCTACTTTATGGCCCTCTGCAAGGTGGAGAGCAAGACCTTGACCTCGAGTAAACTTTCTCCCTGTGCAGTTGTTTATCCCAGTATCACCCTTGGATGGTTATCTTTGTTAGCATGCATTGATGTAGCCATGTCAATTGAGGACCCAGTGGGGCAGCCATTCTTCGGGGTCAAGAAAGGTATACGAGAAGAGCAACTGGGGGGCAGAAAGAGAAAGTTGCGGCATGGGGATTGAGCCAACCCAGAATCCATTCCCAAAGAAAGATCAAGGATCAGGAGGTGCCGACTTGTCAATAGCAAACACTTACCAAGTTCTCTATCACTGGTGCTGATATCACATTCAGGGACTGCAGCTCCAGGTCTCCAGCAACCTGAATAAACCGCACACTTTGTGGTGGAATTCTGTGCCTGAAGACGTACAACAGCTTCCTGCTCACAAAGATCTGTCAGAGGACAAAGCAGGAGGGATCAAGTCTCATTTGGGATCTAAGATAATTATCTACCGATAAGTATCTTTTCCCCCCTGGACCAAAATGATTTCCATTCAGCTACAGGTCGCCCTCTTTTAGTGACATTTGCATTACGACACTGATGAAATATTAACTTAGCGATGCAATACATTTGTGGTTCATTCCAGACAAATAGCGAATTATGGAGGTGGAATGAAGGGGCACCTGCAGTCCCAAAGGAGCTTCTGTCAGGTGTACCAACCTGGTATCCGGCCTCAGTGACAATGAAGATGACCTCAAAATGCTTGCCCTTCTGGAAGGGATTCTGGTATCTTTCCTCCTTTCCCCACCTGCCAGACTCAAGCATGTTGATCACAAGTTCATTCAACTCGAAGCGGGGGTTGAAGTGGAAGGCAAGATCGGCCCCCTCATGCTTTGGAAACGTGAAGTCCACACTGAATCTGGAGCAAAGGGGAAAAAGAAGAGAAAAATGAAATGGAGGGGGTGGGTTTACAGAAATCTCAGAGAATGAGCCTTCTACCCCACTCCGGCTTCTCCATTGCTCTAAAGCTACAATCTGTGAGATAATATTTTATTTTGCTTTAAGAGAAGCCTCACAATTCTTAACCTGCATTGCTTGGTTGGAGCTGGAAGAATCTGGAAATGGAACTATCCCAAAAAATGAAGAAAGGCAAAACTTGGATCACACAAGTTATCATTAACAACATAATAATTCTATGTCTATTGGATCTTAGCTGCCTCAATGGTACAGTGGTTAGAGTTCTGTACTGCAGACCTCTTGTACTGACTATCGGCTGGCTGCAATTTGGCAGTTCAAATCCCACCAGGCTCAAGGTTGACTGAGCCTTCCATCCTTCCGAGGTGGGTAAAATGAGGACCCAGATTGTTGGAGGTGATATGCTGACTCTAAAACAGCTTAAAGAGGGCTGTAAAGCACTATAAAGTGGTATATAAGTCTAAGTGCTATTGCTATTTTTTTTTGAGTAAGGTAGCATCTTGCCCTTCCCGTCAGCCCCCAGGGAACGTTACCTGTTGCTGTTTTGAGGCACTCTGCCATTCACATATATCGCCATCCCGGGATGGAGTCCACCAGGAACAGGTTCATAATAAGGGATAGCCTGGAAGACAGAAAATGATGAACGAAACCAATGACTTTACTGGAGTACACAACGTTGACTTTTGAAGCAGCCAACCGCAAGCTCTGCCTCCTATCAGCCTTTCCATCTGGCTTCTGAGTCGAATGAAGTGCTTTTGAGGGGCCCTCTGCTAAGGATTAATCCCCCCAACATGGCAACAGGAGCTCGGCTGGAGAAAGCACCAGAACTGCCATGGATAAGTTCTGCTTTAACCCTTTGGGTGCTCAGTGGATTGGCAAGACTGGCTGGATGCCAGCATCACATCCGATCTCTCCATGCACTGGAGGAACTTCTAAGAAAAGGAGAACTACTGCAAGTGCCAACTGAGTCAGGCTGGTGGGACCAAGAGAGTGGCTGTGTTTTTGCATTTCTTGAGCTTTTGTAGGAGAACTGTTGTTCATAGGCGCGTGGATGGGTGGAACTTTTTCTTGAACTATTCCCACTGGGAGGGAGGAAATGTGTTTAAAGGGGTGGCCAATTTATTTTGACAAATAAGTGACCAATATTTTCATTACTTCCAATAAACCTGCTCTGACAAAAAGCAGGAGCCTTTAGGTTGTTAGGAATATAAGTCACCTAACAGGTATTTGGGTTAGAAATATATAAACCAGGATAAACATTTTAAAACTGTATCTTTAAGAAAATGCAAAACTGTAATTAGGTGTGGTTTCTCAAACGGAGATAAGATGGAGCCAGAAACCTGGGTTGTTTAGTCTGACTCTCAGAAGAGAGTGTGAGTAAGTCTCTGTTTCCTTCTGTTGGAAAGTATTGCCGTTCCTCCATTTCTTCTAATTGACTGATATTACTGGAATTTGGTGTAAGTCTGATACTGAACTGTTTTTGACACAGGACTTTGATATTTGGATTATCCCTGGATTGAAAAACTGACTGATTTACCTGTGAATGACTTTTGGATTGCTTGTTTGGACTTTGCTTAAACTTTCTGGAAGTAAAAACCTACCTTTACTGTACAGTGTATCTGTGTACTGTGTGTGTATTATTCAAACACTACTCTTTATACGTCTCCCTGTATGCGCTCATTCTCCTAACGGGGAATTACCTCAACA